ATGTTCAGATCGCAGCCCAATGACCCGTCCCCGGATCGAACGGGGCTTGCTTCCACAAGGATCTTATTTTTATTTTCTACTCTACCAGACGTGGAACCGCTCCATGCTACGGGTCTTTATACCTTTCTCTCTCTCTCGCCTGTGTATGGACCCACGAATAATACGGGAATCCAGGGCAAAAAACAATGGATTCAGCGAATCAATGACCCGTCCCCGAATCGAACGGGGCTTACTTCCACAACGAGCAACTGATGCGCCTCAACCAGACGTGGAGCCGCTCCGTGCTACGGGTCCTCATACCTCCCTCTTTCGCCTGCGTATGGATCCACAAATACTGCGGGAATGCAAGGCAGAAAAACAACCACAGAACTAAGCCATGGCCCGCCCCCGAATCGAATGGGGCTTCCACAATGAGCAAGCAATGCGCCTCAACCAGACGTGGAGCCGCTCCATGCTACAGGTCTTCATAACACTGTCTTTGGCCTGCGTACGTATAAACCCACAAATCTCGATGGTGCGGGACAAAAAAAATGAAACAGAGGAGCTCTCCATGACCCACCCCCGAATCGAACGGGGCTCCCGCAAGAATATTTCCAGGCTGTGACTATGGCACAGCCTGCGAACGCGTCCAACGCCACAGGTCTTCATACCCCTCCTTTTGACCCTTGGATGGACCGCGAGTCCTTTGCCCCTCCACGAAAAAAATGTTCAGATAACAGCCTAATGACCCGTCCCCGGATCGAACCGTCGAACGGGGCTTGCATCCACAAGGATCTTGTTTTTATTTTCTACTCTACCCGACGTGGAGCCGCTCCATGCTACGGGTCTTTATACCTCTCTCTCTCTCTCGCCTGTGTATGGACCCACAAATACTACGGGAATCCAGGGCAAAAAACAATGCGGTTTCAGCGAATCAGTGACCCACCCCCGAATCGAACAGGGCTTCCACAATAACTTACCAGCATCCCGCCCTCCATAAAAAGCGTGAACGCACCCAGCGCTGCAGGTCGCCATATCTGTCACATCTGGGTGCACCGAGTACTTGAGCTCCTAAGTCTTGAAGATGTGAGACAAAAAACAGATTATAAATACTATACATGACCTGACCCCGAATCGAACGGGGCTCCCGCAAGAACATTAAGCTCTACCACACAGTGTACAATCCGCAAACGCGTCCAACGCCACAGGTCTTTATACCCTCCTCTTTGACCCGTGCATGGAGGCACAGCTCTCGAAGATACGAGACAAAACAACGCGACGGCAGTATCATGGCCCGCCCCCGGATCGAACGGGGCTTACTTCTACAATACCCTAGATGTAAACTTTAACCAGATGTGAAGCAGCTCTATGCTACGGGCCTTCATACCCCTCTCCTTGACCCGTGTAGGGATCTGCAAATATTTTAGCTCAAAAACTACTTTGGTAGACCTTTTCTTCGAAACAATACCCGGAATGGTTGATCTTTCGGACTTTGAACTCTGTTCGCCTCTGTTCCGCCTTGGTTACATATAAAGATGTCTGCCATTGTTCCGGTTTCCTACGTGCTTGACGGCCGTAGTAGTGCGCGGCACCGTAGGATTGTCCCTTGACCATTTCCCACCCATGCGTGAACCGGACTCTGTCTCAGATACGAATGTTGAGTTGAAATAAATTTCTCACAATTTATGAAAAACCAGTCACCGAGTACAGTATCCGCCAAGTCGACGGCCGTATGTCCCATGTCTATCTCTGTAACTCAGCAGTGTAACTTATAAGTATCTCATCACAAAACAACGGCGATTTCGATTTTCCCACTCACTGCAGTGATGTCTAGTTGCGGCCATTGGGCGAGCGAGCATTTCCCCAGCCGAACCACCGCCTGCCCTTTACTAGAGTTAGGTTGCAAGCAAAAAACTAACCATGAGGTTGGACCGCAGATGCCTTGTTCTTAACACAAAGTAGCCAGGTTTTCTGAACGCCGTGAGCGGCGTCTAGTTACTAGGTTTCATTGCTTTAGACGGCCTAGACACATTGCGCCGGGACTATTCTTCTTTACCCCGCTCTCTTTACTTTCCCAAATTACTGCAATGCCAGGTTTCAGTTTCTGCAAAGCCCTGTCGGTCCATAAGTATCTAGATCTTTTAATGGGGTACTGACCTTCACTGCCAGCGTGCCTGTGCTCCTCCTGAGATCAACGAGTGCTCTTGCCCTCATCATAACCGGCCCAATCGCACGTCAAGCTGAAGTTCCCATTCAAATTGAGTGGACATCGAGCGCAGGCGACCCGGCGTGCGTACGAAATCGTGATATCTAGAGTTGTGCTGGAAGAGTTGAAAGTCCCGCAGGACACTCGACATTGCCTTGGCGGACCCGAACGTTACTCGCTCCTCCCTCCTCAAATTGAAAGTCCGGCTGACGAACCTTTAGTTCTCGGTGGCTCTCCTTTGTGATGTGGACACAGCATGGACCATTCAGCCGGAGATAGGTCATTCATGAAGAGAAGCCACAGTTTCCGGTCGCCGATAATGTAGACTTGCAGCTTCGCAGGTTGCAGAGGCAGTTGGAGGGGCTGCTGGGCGCAGTCGGACATAGCACCACCGAGAACCAGAATCTCCGTGCGCGGATCAAGATGTTAGAGGAGGGGCTTCAGGAGGCAGAGGATTTGTCTCACCACCAGCCACTCCCGGAGTATGTGGAATAGCTTCGCTTGGTTTAGTTCCGCAGTCTGATGGCAGAATTATCACTCATCAGCATGGAATTGGGCTTGACGCTGAGCACAGAAAGAAGACAAAGGGGACGAGCAGTATTAGATCTAGCGAGTACGAGCTGGCAGATGGTCGTGTCCGGGTGTTGCCAAATAATAAAATTAGCGAAAAGGCCAAGAAAAGGCTCGAAGAAAAGCAGAAGAAAATTATTTTCACTCGCAGTGGAACCGTGAGTGGGAGTCGCAATCGGTCCCGGAACTTGATACCCAGACACCTCAAAGTGATTCAACGCCCAAAAAACCTGGACCCGCAATTGCTGAATCGAAGATCGTGGCAGAAGGCAAAGCAGGATTGATGCCGGGGATTGCCGACCGCACTGCCACCACATTCCAACATCGCGATGAACTTTGTGTTGAGTCAGGGATTGATCCAAATGATAAATTATACAGGAGAAGACATGAACATTATTGGCCCGGTAAATATACTGATTCGTGCTCCCCGGCGCCAAGCCCTAAAGAGTTAGTCAGCGTAAAAGATATGCTGTTGATGATGCAAGTGCCGAAGGGTGTTACTTATTCTCCGACTTTTTCGGTCCTAGCGTTCGCATGCGATGTACTCGGAGGCCATTGGTTTCCAGGGTCCCAGATCTCATTTGCCAAAAACAGGATCTGAGGCGCTTAGGCACTGCCTCATTTCTATTCGAATTTATCAATACTAGTGTTGAGAATTTGGCGCACGCTGATTTAACTTTGGACGCTATACAACTGGACGCCTGCACTCTCTGCAAAACAGCCTTCGATGTACAGCATGAGCCTGAGTCCGGGGCATGATGGTAGCATTCCGCTGAAGGGATGATCATCGAGGAGCAGATACGGTGGACTCAAAGGCGTGGAATCGACCTTGGATGCGTGGAAATAAACCACATAGAATGCGATGTGTTTTCGAGGTGGTAGGATCCGACATTGGCGTCCATGTGTCATATTGGAATATTCAGTATGACACCACCGAACAGCTCCCAAAGCTGTTGAACCGCAAAGTGCCAAGGGCAGTGCAACTTTGACTTCAAATCCTGTCGCCTTTTATGTCACCCGTGCACTTGGGCGTCTAGCAAACGGATTTAAAACTTCTGACATGCATCATCTTGAAATATTCGAATCAACAGACTCGACTGTTCTTCTCGATCATCTACTTCGACGCCGACTTGCGGTTAATACTGCATCGAATCCTTGCGACGCTTGATTACCACCGGCAGTATTATAGTCCAAGGTAGACATGCCTCTCTTCAGGACAAATTTCAAGGTGTTCCCATCCGCACTGCCGTGTAACTTCCAGAACTTTCTCGGCTGAATGACTTTGTGCAGGACACGATCCTAGAGTCTGCCAAGACTCGACCTGGACTCACCGGTGGGGTGGCTACCTCTACGATCGCTGTCGTATTCCTCGTGTTTTTGGCGGGCTGGAATCAATACCATCGTCGGGGACCGCCTAAAAATCCAGGGTGAGTAGGAATAACCATTCTATGCGTGTAGGGGCTAAGGGCAAGACAGGGCATCCAACTAGCGTGCTGCCGCGTGTAAATATCATGGACTATAACATCTAAAGAAACAATTGTTATGTACTTGGGAATAAACTCCAATACGCTCCTTCGCAAGGCGGCAAAATCACTGCGCGATGTACGGTCTGACGATCAACGGAAGAGCCGATCCCTTCTCCTCCTCACCCAGTACCACCGGTGTCTGCAATAACCCTGCCATCTTGGGTCTGATACTACCCTTCGGAACCGCAGCTTCGAACTCGAACGCACAAATAAGCGTGAAAAGCAGGGCTTTGAGTCTGCTTTAAGCACAAAGCATGGGTTATTCAATCGCATACGAGCGAGGAGAGGGAGACGCCCGGCTCGCTGCGCAGCAGAGGACCGTACGGTCACTGAGTACGAAGTGCCGTGGTTCTAAATAAAATAATAATGTTTAAGATGATCAATTACTGCACCCTAACCTAAAGGATAACTGCATATGGTAGCCAGCGAACCACTTCTAACCTATGTTGCTTGGCTTCCCCCACTCGCATTCTACAAGCGCAGGGTGTTGTATAGCTGCCAGGTGGGGGTGCTGCACAGCATTAGCCACCCCCGGATTAATAAGTACCACCCTCTTCCCCTTACCTGGGTACCAGTAGAGCGCTATTTATAATAAAAACCATAGTAGTCAAGGTATAGTTAGGGCAGTTACCACATAACATAACCAATTGTAGCAAGTACAGCAATCCGGAGCCGGCCTTGCTTGCACAGAGGTGTAGGGTAAATAATAATAATTTTATTACCTTGTCCAGGAGTTAAACCTGTATTAACAGCTCATAAGGCTGTCGTGATATCAATTACACTACAAAGGCTATTGATCCTATCCTATACTTGAAAACACGAAGTCACGGGAAATTGACAGAAAATCACGGGGTACCACGTGAGACCACGTGAAGTCACATGAATTTCCCGTGCTCTTGGAACCCCGAGGCGCCAGAGGGCTCAGACTCTGGTGTGTCTGTATGGAACCGGGACCAAGCCATGTCTGACCGCCCGGAATCTTGTACTTGAAAACATGAAGTCACGGGAAATTGACAGAAAATCACGGGGTACCACATGAGACCACGTGAAGTCACATGAATTTCCCATGCTCTCGGAACCCCGAGGGCTCAGACTCTGGCGTGTCTGTATGGAACTGGGACCAAGCTGTGTCTGACCGCCCATGGGAGTGATTCCGTGCCAAAGGCACGGGTACTAATCTTGTATACAGAAAGCGAACTATATTTGTAACACATGTCATGCGGCACTGATCAGGTGATCGGACTGAGGGCTTGTGTGTGAGGACAGGTTGATCCTCACTCCAGAAAGTCAAGCACAGTGTCAGGGCTGAGACACTCATCTCTTATGTTTTTGTGGTAGACCCTCTGCTACAACGGTACAAGTCTTAAAAAGAGGCAACCAGAAGCCGGATATCTGAGCTTCTGAATGTTGTATCTTACTCCTTTGCGGTATATACCACTCAGGGAGACTAGAACTCATCTCCAAGGGGACATCTTCTAAGGTCGTAGGGGCATGTGATCGTGAAAAATTCATACTATTCGTGTGAGCTCTGCCTGAGCCTCTATCAGTACCGAGGAATGGGCTGTGAAGGCGGTAGGCAGTTGGTAGTTGTTAGGGCTTGAACCTGTCCCGTTTTCGACAGGTCAATGGCTGAGACAGACGGGTTTGGACCCATACATTTCGGGTCTCAGAGCCTCCCTTCGCCGGGAGGGGTACAGGATGGGTTCACTCATCGACAGGGACCCATTCCCGGCCATTTGACAGCTTCAACAGGTGTGCTTCAGCAATGCTCGGCAACCTCATAACAGCGGTGCCGGAGCATATAACTTAGGGCTTTGGAGTTTGAAGATACATCTGGGTTCATCAATATCACCGTGCTGGTCTTCTGTTAGTTGCCACACACTCCATCATGTGCTTCTGTGGAGTCGGCAATCTTCGGCATCCAGCGCAGGCCACTGCATCCTGTCTGGTGGTGTCTGGCATAAATCACCTTTCTGCTTTGTCCTACAACCTTTATTGATGTACACACCCTCAATTTATGAAGCCCAGAGACATCTTGACTTCAATCCATCAGTGAGACCATCCGCATATCCAGCACCCGTCGAAATGGGCGGGATGGCCGGGACCTGTACGTTTCACGATCTCAGAACCTAGTCGACAGGACGGGTCAACCCATCCGTACCCAGAAATGGCTGTCAAAAAAGACAGCCATCCCATTTGACATACGGGTTCAAGCCCTAGTAGTTGTCAAGTAAAAGTGTTATTTCTTATCACAGTCACAATTAGACATAAGCAAGCTACCATAGTACAAGATATGAATCATATGTGTCGAAACTGTTTGTAAGTAGTAAGAAAAATAGGAGATAGCCGACAGTGATTCTTTACATTGTGACACCATGTGACTCTGAGGACTCTGACACCACCACTTGGTGGCGACCACTGGACGAGTGTCAGGTGGTGGGAAGCTTATAGCTCGCCAGTGAGTTAATTCTGTGTCCTCCCTCTGTTTACCATGCTACTGGAGATAGTCTGTTAGCTACTGCACCCTGATTACCATTACCCACCCTTATTATATAAGCTTTCCTTTTTCGGATCTAATTGAAACTGCGTGAACCTTGGAAGGACGCGTTTTCAGACATCAAGGTGTGACAAATTTCTTAGGAACACATTCTCAGGTCTCTAATAGGTTCAAGAGTTTTCTGAATAGTATTTGTGATTGCTGCCTGGTCAGTTGTGCATGAGTTGGCATCAAAAGCAGCTCCAGGTGCACAATTGGGTGTTGACACCCTCCTATGCAGTCCTTTTTTCATGATGGTGTATTATAGAGCACAAAACAGCAGTTAATGCCGTTCCAAGACAGAAACCTTTAAAAAACATGCCAACAATGCAATTCAACATGTCCGGAACACAAACATGTGAGCTCCCGAAATGGAAAATTACATAATAAGGGCAAGTAACAGTAATCAAGGCATGGTAACTAATAGACTTCAGAACAAGGTTGTGAGTGGGAAGTCAGTGCAAGAGACTAACATGGAGACTACTTAAGGGATTCAAGTTTGCTCATATGTACCAGTGGCTGCTGCACGCCGTGTTAACGGTTAACTGAGCCCGCAACATAAACTAGCAGTATGGCTTGAATTCCTGCTCTACGTGGTGTGCTCTGGTTGGGCAAGAATCTTCTGGCAAGGAGGATATACGAGAAGAGTGAGAGTGGGACTTGCTGAGTCCCACTCTAGGTAAGCGAGTCCCACCCAGGACGGTCTATACTGCTTGATGCGACTCCAGTGCAACTCAATAGTCTTGGCAGATCAAGCAACAGATCAAGGTGTCTGGCAGTATGTCCATTGATGTCTGACCCGCATCATTGTGATGTATGCAGATGTCATTCCTGTGCTCCATGTTCAGTGAGATTTCTCATGACTGAAAAAAGGTCATTATTGGGGTCCCCGAGTGTGTCTGTGAATGCCTAGGACCCAACTCATTATGACAGTAATATGGGAAAATTTTGAACCAACCCATGCATAATAGGCTTTGATTTCACCGGGTGAAAGGTCAGCAGCCTGCAGAAACATCTGCAACGGGTGCTATGCCTAGTGCGAGCGAGAGTGCAGCTAAAGCGAGATAAAATAGGGGGGTTCAGAGGATGAGATATCAATTAGAGGAGTTGAGATGTAAAGGGCAAAGTTCCTTGTTATTGTGGGTTGAATCTGTTACAATTTATAGTCGGAAGAATTAATAAAATAGGAGATTGAGCTGAGACCGGAGAAAGGAGCATAAAATGGGAAGGGTCAGGGGTGAGAGCATATGTTGAGGCAGTACTTCAATGTGTAAATAGCTGCAGCAGTGTTGTGTTTCGTAATTGGCGGCGGGTACACGTCAACGGGTGGTGCTGAAGCACTTATCAGAAGAAAGGCAGGTAGTGATGTTACAGCTTGGCTTGGCTTGGAAGCCCCAGGCTTTGGCTTCACTTTCCTCAAGCCCAAGCCCAAGCCATCGAGGAGTGCTTGGCTTGGCTTGGCTTTGGCTTAAGCCATAGCTTGCCAGTAATTTTCCCCAGTGTGTCTGTTATACTTTCATTGTCGCTCTATTACTGCCAATGCAAAAAATGAAATTAGATGTCCATATTGTAGTCTGGGTCATAATTATTTGACTCCTCTTCTAATAGATCATCCCATCCATTTTCCTTGTCATCACCCTCCTCCCACCATCACCAGCATTCTCCTCATTAGGCTCGTGAAACCAGCCCAGCCCAGTGAAATTGATGCCATCGTAAACTCAGGCATTCACTGGGACAGGCTGGGCCCCTATGTCGCCTGTTTGGCAGATGGCAGATCTCTCTGCCATTTCAGACACTTGACTTAGAAATAAAATGGAAACAACATTTTTGCAACTCATGAACTATGCAGCAGAGCCAGGGGGTGTCTGAGGCAAAGATGGATAACTTTTCATTATCTATTCATCAACACCCCCTTCATTTTTCTGCCATCCAAAACATGTTGACGCCAATGGATAGAGAATCCAAAGTTATCCATCTTTGCCTAAGATACTTTGAGACTATTTTGTAATGTATTTGGTGTGTTTGTTCTAAGTCGAGGGTTTGTTTGACGTCCCATCATTATTTGCTCCGATGTTGTAGCTATTTGTTCTCTATCCTAATCCGTCGCCATTCCCACCCGCTTTGTCTTGTACCCAAGTGGATGTCAACCAGGTTCCTTCACAACCGCGGTTACGAGAATAACAATCTGAGTTGGCAAATTACAATTGGATACAGAGAGATTTTGTACCGGATATATTCGGACCATGTGATATGTGACGTGATGTGACTTCAAAGTTGGGAGTTATCCTGCAGTGGAGAGGATAACCCCAACTTTGAAGTCACATCACATCACATATCACGGTCAGAATATATCTGGTACAAAATCTCTCTGTATCCAATTGTAATTTGCCAACTCAAATTGTTATTCAAACGGCGCTCCGCGCATCCCTGGGACCGAGTGACACCACAACCATTCCAGTCAGATACTTGTCATTGGTATGTAGAAAACACACGACCCAGATTGCGAGTAAGTATCAAACAACCACCCCAAACTCCACACCAGTCTACCCATAAGCGTCCTCTGTTAACCTCCCGGCGTTGACCTTCACAACCCTGCATGTTGCAACAGGGTCTCCAGAAGGAGAGGCTTACTTTCAGGTGGTATAAGTTATACTAAGTCTTACTATACTAACTTAGTACTATAAGGCGGCGAGCTCGGCACAACGAGGCCAGCTGTTTCTTGGTCAAATGGTTGTACATGGAAACAAATAACAAAATGCTGTCAGAATAAGCTGCAATGAACTTTATCCCAAAATCAGCCGCTTTGTGTGTGCACAATGTCGACAGGGTCGGGATCTCTACGGAATTGAATGAAGCATTGAGCAGGTACATGCTGACATGGTCTCGACCGTCACCCTCATTGACCTGCATGTGATTGTCTGTCAGAAGGGGGAGCACTTCCAAGTCTGACATCGATGCATAGGGACCGCCCTCTGAGTGCGCCTCCTCAGAGACGGAATGCGGAATGAACTACCCTTCCCTCGGGTAAAGCCTCCTTATAAATACGAGATGGTCCACGTCACAAGACTCGGAACACACATGATGCAAGAGAGATTGGATAAGGGCAGGTTTGTCTGTTTCGGAATTAACAGTTTGTGCAGTGTGCAATGTTGCAATGCTGTTGAGTTGTGAGATGTTCAGGTAAACGAAATGGCCCACAAATTCAGCCAAACTTGATGTCCTGCAGATGGAGTGACCGCTGGAATTACCATACAT